TACTGCTGCGAATAGCAGCACCAAAACGGCACGCGGCCTCCTGCAAGCAGCGGTACATGATGCGCCACATGACGTAAGGCTGCAAGCGGATGCAAAAGGAGTCAAGCAGCTGTGCGACAGGTGTCAGGGTCTGGGAGGCCTGTCTGCTACGGTCCTAAGGTAAGCAGGTAAGGTCTCCCCCGAAATTGACTCTTTTGGAGTCAAACAAAAAATAAGACCAGGACTTATTTTCAGGGAAACACAATATCTATCTGTCTATTCATCTTTAGAACTGCCCATCTCCCTCACAACTCTGGACGATTAGGGCAGAGACGCCAAGCTGATCTTTTGTTATGTTTTGTGACATTTATCTTGCTATAATAGCCAGCCACCAGAGGGTATTTTTTTTTAAGGAGCTGGGAAAATGTTCCAACTCCCCAGATGAAAGATGTTTCTCTAGCTATTGAAGCTAGAGATCATGTCATGTATTGTGATGTAATGTAATGTAATCAGTTTGATTAGCAAATCTGATAAAGGTGAAAACACTTAACAATTTTAAAAGTACTTTCCCTAATACACTTTTTATCTTCAGAGGACTTTTTCTGCATCTGACAGCTACTTCTTCTATATTTTCAAAAGAATCCTACTTTGCTGTAGAAATGTTGCATACACGGTATAATGCATACCGGGTAATCTGGAGGACAAGGACTAACTCTTTAATTGTAATCTTAAAAGCATATCTTAAGATCATAAAATCATAATCTTGTGGGGTTCAGAAAATTCCTGGAAATGAATTGTGCTTCAGGCTGGCAATCTGCTTTACCGTGTGCTATCATTTCACTCTCCTTTTAAATTAAAATCATATTTTAGAAAAATCAAATAGCATATGGAGCATTGGGAGCCCCAAGGTCTGTGAGCACCATGAGGGGGGAACCCAGGTATAGCTTCATACTAGAAAGAAAACCTGGTTATGGTACATCAGCCAGTTACTTTTCAAGAAAATGTGGCCACTATTTCTGATCAGGGTATCCCCTACTAAAACTGTCATTAGCTGCTAGAGTCTTTCTGAAGATTTATGGTTTTGAGAATATTTTACAATGCAAATGGAACAAAAGTGCCCTGTAGAGTCTTAAAATAAATACACATACTACCCAGGAACCTCATGTCTGCCCTTCAAAGTAGACCAGGCTAAGAAACAGACACCACAAGAAATATTAGAATTTTATTTTATTATAGTAACAGAATCTTGAAAGTCTGGCAGCATTGTCCTTCCCTCCCTCTTATATAAAGACTGTCAAGATGGTGCAATCTTGATTTTCTTTCTCTTGCTTCCTTGTTTTCCTGAGCTAAGCTTATATTTTATTAACTGTTGCTGCAAATCTTCTCCAAGGTCGTCTATGTGCTTCTCTACACTCCCAGATTTAAGAGTAACAGTAATTAGTGATAAAGGTAAAAACCCCAATTCTACCCCATCTCATCTGGCTTCTTCATAAATTACCTGTGGGTGTAAGATAACAAGAAAGGCCTCTTCATGAATTCTGCTGCCAGACAGAGCAGTTGGTGTCCAGCTAATTGACCTAGGTCCTACAATACTCTCCCATATTCCTCGGGTGGCCCTTTGAAAATTGGGACATCAAACTCTCCCCTTCCTTTTGACAGTCAACTTAGAAACACACAAAGTTTTGTGGCTTCTCTGCCAGTTTGTTAGACCTCATTACTACTCAGCCAGGCTCTAAAAAAGAGGAGGGGGGGTCAACTTATTTTCCAAAGCACCAGAGGGCAGGACAAAAAGCAATGGAGAAACTTCCTAACAGTGAGGACAATTAATCAGTGGAACAGCTTTGCCTTCAGAACCTGTGGGTGCTCCATCACTGGAGGTTTTTAAGAAGAGACTGGACGGTCACTTGTCTGAAATGGTATAGGGTGTTCTGCTTGAGCAGGGGGTTGGACTAGAAGACCTCCAAGGTCCCTTCCAGCTCTATTCTGATTAACTGAACATTGAAATTCACTCGGGAGCTTTCAAATCAAGGAGCACTAACAGGAAGCATGGATGACAAAGCACTACACTCCGCCTTAAATGTTGAGAGCTGATGTGGAATTTCCATGGTTTCACTTGACTTGATTTGCTTGGTTCAATCATCTTCTATTACTCACACGTCTATTTCATGAAAGTTTACTTTGGGGGGAATGGCGCAAACAGACACTTCTTGAAAATTACTGCTTGGGTTAACCTTATGTGGGAAAAAGCTACCCCCTCCCTGTTTTTTCCTTTCAGTTCTCTTGCTGAAATGAAGGCATGGCATTGCTCAGTGCAGGCTGTGAGTCAGCTGGGAAGCTGTACACTGCATCTGTTTTCCTGCAGTTACTTAGAATCCTGTGTACACAGCAGGCCTGGAGGGAAACCCCCTCAGGAAGAGAGATCAAAGGGAATCATCTTTCCCACACTTATTTGGAACTTTTCTCTCTGGTATCTTATAATATACTGAGCAGCAATATTGGATTAGCAGTCTTGGAAGAAGAGCATCCAGTCATTCCAAACTAAATAATTTGTTTGCTTCATCTCCTATTTTTAACACAAAGATTAGACTTGGTTTATTATTTATTCAGGAGACATAAAACAAAGTAAAATTACAAAGGCATGCCAATTAATAAATTGAATATCTATCTATCTATCTATCTATCTATCTATCTATCTATCTATCTATCTATCTATCTATCTATCTATCTATCTACCGTGGTGGCACAGTAGATAGAATGCAGTATTACAGACTAATTCTGCCAGCAGTTCAATTCTCAAGGTTGACTGAGCCTTCCAACTGCCAGCAGTTTGATTCTCAAGGTTGACTGAGCCTTCCATCCTTCCAACTTCAGTAAAATGAGGATCTAGATCAGGGGTGTCAAACTGCCAGCCTGCAGGCCGGTTTCATCATACTGGAGCCACGCCCACCCCATTGCCGGCAATGGAGAAAAAGCTCCGATACATTGTGCGATGTCACGTGATGTCGCGAGTTTGACATGTCTGATCTAGATTGTTGGGGATGATATGATGACACTGTAAACAGCTTAGAGAGGGCTGTAAAGCACTATGAAGTGGTATATAAGACTAAGAGCTATTGCTATCTATTTACTGATTTACAGAAGAAAACATATGGCTTGCTTAGGAGTAAACAGTAGCAAAGCTTGAGAAACATACTCTACTGGGCAGCAAAAGAGATGGTAATAGCTAGGCAAAGGAATGCTCTGTGGTGTTACCTAGTTTGGTAATGAAACATCTAAAAGAAAACCACCAATGAGGGCAAATATATATGTCCCAAGATAATGTTGCATGATCTAATCTGAGTTAGTCACAGGGACCAGAATTTAGTCTTCTGTGCTTTCAGATTTGTGCTGGAGCCAGATGAGGATGGGCTCCAGCACAAGTCCAAAATTTTGGAAGATTAAGCCTCTGGTCCCAATGACCAACCCAGATTGGAGCCTGCAAAACCACCAAGCTCAGAGAGCACCAAGGACTTCAAAGGAATGCTCTCTTGAGAAACAGATCGGCATGTGAATAAAGGCTTACTCATCAGTGGGAACACTACAAAAGCTTCTCTTCTGATCTTCAGTTGAGCATCCTAGTTGCTGATACACTGATGTTGACCTCTGGCCTAGCTTTAGAGTCTGCTTATGGCTAGACCCCTTGTTTGAACTCCTGAATGAACTTTAGATTGCTTACTGGTTCTGATATAAGTAACTGATCTGAAAACTTGACCTGGTTACAGAACAGACACAACAAATAGCTAAAGTTTCCATCCATATTTTACATGCCACCAATCACATCATTATTAAAAAGTCTTACAGGCATTGCAACACTTTAACTAACAAAATCATAGAATCAGAGGGGACTTCAGCCAGTCTAGAGAAAAGAAGGACTGGGGGTGACATGATAGCAGTATTCCAGTATTCGAGGGGCTGCCACAAAGAGGAGGGGGTTAACTTATTTTCCAAAGCACCAGAAAGCAAGACATGAAACAATGGGTGGAAACTAATCAAGGAGAGAAGCAACCTGGAATTAAGGAGAAACTTCCTAACAGTGAGGATAATTAATCAGTGGAACAGATTTCTACAATGGAATCTGGGTGCTTTTATCACTGGAGGTTTTTAAGAAAAGACTGGATAGCCACCTGTATGAAATGATATAGGGTGCTGCTGCTAGAGCAGGGGGTTGGACTAGAAGACCTCCAAGTCCCTTCCAGCTCAATTCTGATTGACTCTTCAGTGAGGGTACACTTGACAGATCCTCCGCTTAAGCAGTGACAGGGAGTCTACTATCTATCTGGATAACTATTCCACTATCCAGTAACTATTGCTCCGTTGCTGTTTTCTAACTTTCAATTGGAATTTGCTTTCCTATTATTTAAATCTGTCTTTGGAGTTCCAGTGTGAAGTCTGCCACATTAAGCCATTCTCAAGAAGTGTGGGGGCTTTCAACATGATTCAGATAGGAGGGGATCCTGCAACTCTGACCATTTTGAAGGACTGAAAATAAAGCCATTCTGAAAGTTTAGCAAAATGAGAGTCCTGTTTCACCAACCATGGAGGAACTCAGTGCAGTTGAAGCAACAGAATCACCAAGCAATCTTCTACTCCTCGTGGAACTGTCCTAATTTTACTACCTGTTTCATAAGCAAGTTCTACATTAATTAAACCAACTGCTCTTCAAAGGCTTAAACCTGAATTCTTGATTATTACTTCAAAGCTAAATACATTAAGTGCACAAGTATAGTTGTATTTTAAGGGGGATAATTAAGCTGAACAGAAACAGCCTCTGGAGATCAAGTGCTAAAACAGAGTTTCCATATCATCTCAACAAAGGAAGTTTCAGAAGATCACTTCACACATTCAGCCCTAAGTCTTTAGATGAGGAGATACTAAATAACAAGCAAGGATCACACGCATGCACACACCATATTACAGCCACTATTGAATTATATTTCATTCTTAACAGTCTCTTAGGTTTCTGGGGTCTTTTAGCCACTCACCTTCCTGGATGTTCTTGGAGGACCTGGTAGACACTGATTTGGAATGTTTCATTATCAAAACGTTCTCTAATGTAGTCCTTGTAAATTCGAAACTCAGCTGCAGTTACTGCTTCACCCTCGGGGATCCTAGAGAGGTCAAATCGGAACTCACGATGATGACTGCGCTGATGATAGAACTCCTTGTCATGTTCCACTGCAAAAAGAAAAAGCAAATGATTGGCTCAAATAATTCTTTAGTGACCCGTAAAATATCCAATGGCAGAATTAACATCTATGCATTAGATCAGGGGTCTGAAATCTTGACAACTTTAAGATTTGTAGACTTCAACTCCCAGAATTCCTCAGCCAGGCTTGCTGGCTGAGGAATTCTGGGAGTTGAAGTCCACAAGTCTTAAAAGTTGTCAAGGTTGCAGACACCTGCATTAGATGTTATGCATATTCTCTTCTCTGGTAGAGAAGAGAATGTATCCAAGGGATAGGAGGATATTACTACTCGCAACGTATTTTAAACCTTTGCAGAAGCTTTGCTGAGTTGAGTGTCTGCTGTGTTATTCAAACTAGATGGATGTGCCAGATGCTGTGAAGGATCTGTGCACTCTTCCTCCCTGAGAAACCAAGCCAATCCAAACTGAATTTCAGATTCACAAACCCAGACTACCTAAAAATATACAGTATATAATACGAATATACAATATTAAAACTGATATACATTACTGATCATCTCTGGATCGCCTATAGACTTTAGAGTATTGTTAGTCCCATATAGTGAACTGGCAGAAGTAGGTTTATTGGTCCATCTTAGAAAGTTGTTAGTATCCGCTCTCATTGCAATTTCTGGGAGGACATATAGGGCAGGGGTCCCCAATCCCCGGTCTGTGGACCGGCACCGGTCCGCGGCATGCCAGAAACTGGTCCGCACAAACAAGCAAAGCCCCATCCGCAGGATGCAGGCAGTACATGAAACCATGCCCCCTCCGGTCTGTGGAAAATTTCTCTTCACGGAACCAGTACCTGGTGCCCAAAAGGTTGGAGACCTCTGATATAGGATATACCAGGCTTTATAGCTAGATTTTTTTTCTTCCAACCACCAGGCAGAATGCAAAGGAATTCTGAATTTTTTTTTATCAACATTGGGAGAGCACTAAAATGGGGCAGAATCACCACAGATGATGGTACCTAACTAGATGTGGCTGATCTCAACAAAACTAAATAGGGTCAAGTCCTGATTACTATTTGGAGAGGAGGACATGAGAAATTTCAAGATTAGAGTGGGAACTGGAAAAAAAAAACATACAAAAAGGAGGGGAGGGAACATGCCACTTCACTCTTTTTGCCAAGAAATATTTCTTCAGACAACTCATGCTTAAACAATGGAATTTGCTTCTAGAAGATATATAGACCATAGCCATCAACACAGATGGCTTTAAAATGTGCTATCACTCCATAAACACTCTTATGTTATTCTCCATAAATTTGTCTCTCAACAGTTGTCTGATGACAGATGAGTCATATGTATTGAAAAAATAGAAACAATAACCAAAGAATTTCAACAATTGCCGTGATTCAAAAAAACAACCTTTCTATTCAAACTCTCTTGCATGTTCTTCTCCTTCTTGTCCTACTTGGCATCTCTTTTGAGCAAGCCAGGTTGTTTCTATCTGTCTTTTATTTTTACAATCACTGGAGCCATTACCATAGTTTATTTTTTTGACCGGGTGAGAACTAACTTTCCTATTACTACTAATCACGAGAGCTATGCATTACCTCTAATTATCACTTTCCTCAATGTGAACTCAACTTCTGATGACTTCATGGATATCTCCATAAAATTTTCTTAGCAACAGTTAGGAAATAGTTACCCGCTGCCTTCTTCTGGGATTACTCAAGGTAACCTTTGTATTCCCAGGATGTTTTCTATCCAGGTCTAATCAGGCCTGATCCTGCTAATATTTTCAGCTAAGACAATATCAACCAGGTGCTGCCACCTACTGAGACAATGGAGACAGTAAATGGTACTCTATATAGTTGGTGAGGAGCTACTTGAGTTAATTTCCCTTGTGAATTCCACATCAATATTTGTTACTATGGTTGGTGGCACGGTCAGCCAGATATGGATTTGGATTTGGCATTTTTATCCACTAATCGGGTTCTTCCCAAAGACTTGGGATAGGCTGATGTTGTGGTTTGATAGTGTTAAAGATATAAGCTGCAGTATATAAGCTGTTCCAAGTAAAGTTTGCAATTGACTGGTGGTGATTTTTTTAGAATACTATAGAATAGAGCTGGAAGGGACCTTGGAGATCTTCTAGACCAGCCCCCTGCTCAAGCAGGAGAACCTATACCATCTCAGACAAGTGACTGTCTAGTCTCTTCTTAAAAACCTCCAGTGATGGAGCGCCCATGATTTCTGAAGGTGATTTCTGGTTAATTGTCCCTTTTGTCAATGCTGGTGGTATTCAAGTAGTGCTCCACATGTTTTGGGGATTGCACCCAAGGTACCTATGACTATTGGTACTATCTTTGCTTTCTTTTGCCCCACTTGTTCTATTTCTATTTGCCAGTCTTTGTATTTTGTATTTTTTCCAGTTCTTTCTCGATGATGATGATGATTAGTGGAATATAAACAACTGCAATACAATGAAAAAATACAGTAGTGGTTATACAGTGAGAAAAGAAATCTATAAACATTCCCATCAATAACAGGCAGGCCACTGTTAAAAACCAAGATACTTGACTACATTGGCCTTTAAACTAATCTAATATAAACATCAACCAGACTTGTGTAAAAGCACTCCTAGGCACAGAAGCTACTCTACATTCAGGAATGTATTTCCAACCATCTCTATGCTTAAACTAGACATAAAGATGGATCTCAGTCCCATCAGTAGGAGGCAGGACAGCCCTATCATCAAGAAAAGATTGAAATAAGTTTTAAATTGTTAGCTCTATCTAGCATATTAGTAATCCCAGGTTAGTTGTAAGTAAGAATCACTTAGTGATTTAGGCAAACCTTTGTTTTTCCTAACTTCTTTTTTACAGAAATCACTGGTGAGGAACAAATGAGTTAATCAAGTAAGGTTGACTAGACTGTGCACCAATGTAAAGAAAGTATAAAACCAGACATATTTAACAGACATATTTCATTTAGCAATGGGACTATAGCTAACTGTATGAATGGTGTGACTCATATAACATTGTCCATTGCTTCCCATGATCTTATATTGCTTGAATCAGAACTGAATAGTGGTAAACCTGAAGGTCATATTGATTTTAATATTTTTGTTTCATTTGAAGTTCTCTGTGGTTCTTTACTTCCCACTTTATACAAAGGATAGTTATCTAAGAAATGCATTTTATGACCACTGAACTTGCTCTTCAAAAACTTAAATCTATTTATCAAAGTTAACTAGGCTACATAGAATGTGGTCCATGACAATTCATTGCAGTTGCCAATCTTTAATGGTTTTTTATTGTTCCATGTCAATCTTGCCCAACTTGGTGCCCTCCAACATTTTGGAAAATATCATCCAAGTTAATATAAAAATGGCAGGAGATGGTAGATTTGGACTTCAATACATTTACATGGTACTTGTTTGTAAAAATAAAACAACAACAACCCTGCTATTTACCAACAACCTTCCTTAAATACAGTACATATAAATTCCTCTGCACTGCAATAACTGATTTTGCTTTCCACAATAATCACCTTTATCCCTTCTGTATGTTCCAGATTTAAATACAATTATTATCAATTAGTTTTATTATCTATTAAACTTGACTGCTATGGAGTTATTCCTACCCCCAATGCTTAACAACAAAATACAATCCAATACAATCTGATTTTTACAATATTTCTACCCAAGCTCTTAACTGCAGAAAGAGATTCTCAATTTTTAACTAACTTGCCAATCAGAATGTCACAGGTCACTTTTTAAGGATACTTTCCGATCTATCACTTAATGATCTGACCCATAACCTTCTCAGATATTGATATCACATATCGGTTGGTCCGTAGTTACCTGAGTTCTCCGTTTAGAAGATAAAGACAAAAATTACCCATAACTTTCTTCATTCATTAGGATTTCTCAACGATAATTGGAAAAGTCTGTTTCTGGGTCCAATTCAAAGTGTTTCTGGGTCCAAATTAAAGGCCTACATGGCATGGGGCCAGGTTACTATCTTTGTTCTATTACATCAGCCCATCCCACAAGGCTAGGTAGGCAACATATGTTGTGGATCTCATCAGCATCAGAATTCCAACTGGTGGGGTCCAGAAAGACAGCATTCTCACCCTAGAGGTAAGAATGGCCTTTCAGAAAGAGGTGAAATCATGATTCTGTAGCCTTGCTTGGGGTGCACAGAGGGATATGCAAGGTCAGTACCCTGAAAGCTCTCTCCTGGCCTTTTAATTAATATCTAACATTAAATTTTAATCATCTTTGCCTCTTTTTAAATTTTATATAGTGTTTTATTTGTATACCACCAAGAGTCTCTCTGAGAGGGAGATGGGCAGATTCAAAATTTGATAAATAAAATAAAAGTTTCAGACAAACTTAGCAAGTCCTTTCAATATCTTAGAATAAAATCCTAGTGTTCTGAATCCAGGTCACCATGTATTCTGCAAGGATGTCAACCTTAAGCTTGAATGTTGCTTTTTCCTATTTGCCAGGGAGACGACATGTACACTTTTTGGAGAAAACTGAGTTTTAATGGGATTAAAGTAGTTCTGTCTTTTCTTAATGTTCTAACTCTTTTCCATTTCCATTTAATAACTGCCATATTGTTGCTTTTCTTTTCATTTATGTAGAAAAGGACTTTTTGGTTAAGTTTTATCATTGGTCACCAACCTCAGTCTCTTTAAGAGTTAATCCTCCTAGTGTTTGTACAATCCACAAATCTGAATTCCTTTTGTACCTTTTGTACCTTTTGTACCTTCCTCTACTGACCCATTTTTACACCATATTTTTTGTAACTGTTTCAATGGCTCCTTTTTAAAGAACTCCTACCCACCTGGCCTTCTTTCCCCATTAGTTTCTCTTGCCATGGAATTCTTACTATTCTTTTCAGTTTATTAAAAGTGGTTTCTCGAAACCCAAAACATGAATTTGGTTACACTCAGCTCCAGTTTCCCATCATACTAAGAAGTCCAACAGGATCACTTTCTCCCCAGCTTTCACTTTGTCCATTAAATCA